GTGGATGACAGGCTAAACATGAGTCAGCAGTGTACAATCGCAGCTCAGAAGGCCAACCGCATCCTGGGCTGCATCAAGAGAATAGTGGCCAGCAGGTCGAGGAAGGTAGTTCTGCCCCTCTACTCCGCTCTGGTGAGACCCCACTTGGAGTATTGCATCCAACTCTGGAGCCCTCAGCACAGGAAAGACATGAACCTGTTGGAGAAGGTCCAGAGGAGGGCAATGAAAATGATCCAAGGGCTGGAGCACCTCTCCTATGAAGGCAGGTTGAGAGAGTTGGGGTTGTTCAGCCTGGAGAAGAGGAGGCTTCAAGGTGACCTCATTGTGGCCTTCCAATACCTGAAGGGGGCCTATGTGAGAGATGGGGACAGACTTTTTAGCAGAGTCTGCTGTGACAGGACAAGGGGTAATGGTTTTAAACTAAAAGAGGGTAGATTTAGACTTGACATAAGGAAAAAATTTTTTACAATGAGGGTGGTGAAGCACTGGAACAGGTTGCCCAGAGAGGTGGTGGAAGCCCCATCCCTGGAGGCATTCAAGGTCAGGCTGGATGGGGCTCTGAGCAACCTTATCTAGTTGGAGATGTCCCTGCTCACCGCAGGGGGCTTGGCCTAGATGACCTCTAAAGGTCCCTTCCAGCCCAAATGATTCTATGATTCTATGAAAGCAATCCTGTTCCCTGTGTTTGTCCAGTGCTCTAAATCCAAGTCCCATTTATTGCTTTTCCGTCTGCTGACGGAAAAAATATTTTGTATCAGTCTGGGGTAGGTCTCTAATTTCAACTAAATAGCAAAATTCCTCAAACTCTTTCACCTCTCATGCCTTCCCATTTAGGTCATAGTTGTAGAATTTAACCATGAATGTAGATGATCCACATGGCATTTTTTTGATGCCCAAAGAGTGGTGTGGGTGGACCACTAATGTAGCTTTGTCTACTCCTTGTTTGTCAAGAAAATGTGGCCTTTATTGGGAGTATGTCAAGGAGTATATGGGTTTACAAAATCTGATCAGGTTTGGTTATGTTTGGCATCAGTACAGAGCTCCTGATTTGGTGGAGAAAGGGTAGAAGGGAGCACGTAAATTTTGCAGGGGACATATCTGAATTCTATAATGGGCCAAGATAACAATTTGCATCTCATTTATGCATGTTTTTCTAAATTAGAAGTGGAGCACAAGCATTCTGGGAAAGGTGTTATCTCTGCTTTCTTTTTATATATATATGGCCAGGTGTTTTTGTTTTTTCTTTCCTTTTAATGTATATAGACAGTTTTTTTAGATAGTTGGTATATTCTTGTGAAACTGTCTACCGGAGGTATTTATTCCTTTTGTAGTCCTTCAGTGGAGACGTGCTTTTGATTCTTTCAAAACCCCAGAGTTATTTTGAATAAAACTGTGGTTCTTTTTTGGGTTTTTGTTGGTTTTTTTTTGCTTTACAAGCCATCTCTTGCACGATGTGTGTTTTTTGAGGTCCTTCTGCGCTGCACTGGCTCTTAATGTTTCAGGCTCTCTTTTGGTGTCTTTGCTAAGCCAGCAGATTATTTGATGTATTCCTTTAGATCTCCTTTAGAATCTGGATTTAGCCTTTAACGCTTTTCTGGTTCTGTTATTCCTTTGTGTGATGGAGCTCCCTTGGCGGGTGAGTGAGAAGGGAAAGCACAACTTTGATGCATCAGGGGACAGCACAATAGTGTGCATGATATGCAGACGTAATGTGGTGTGGATGGGCTTCCCTAAGTTACTTTCTAAAAGACAACATGAAAATATTTGAGTACAGAAAGCTCTGTTTGGGGAAACTGCACAAAATCAGCAAAGCCCAGCATATGGACATTGACTTCCCACAAAACAGCTTTGTATAGAGGATGGATGATCTTCGAAAAGAGAGACCCTAAAATGCCTCTAAGATTGCGGTTATAAGAGAGAAGCCATACAATAAATTGACATTTATGATCTATATTGTTTATATTTGTTCAAATCTTGGATTCTTGGTAAAGTTTCCTACAGGTCTTGTGGTCTAAAATATATAATTTTATTAATTTTACATTGCTTGCATAATAGGCTGGTATTTCTAATTAG